TGACCTCTTTCATCGATCCTCCTCAAACACCCCCATACCTCTGGGACGTGTGGTGGATGTTGTGGGGCGGATAGATCCTCCACCGAGACACATCTATGTTGACACTTGGCTGGAACCCTAGAATTGTGGGGCGGATAGATCCGCCACTGAGCATGTGTCCTCTTTCAGAGAAGTCTGAGGCAAATCGGGGGAGTTGTGGGGCGCATAAATCCGATAGTGAGCAAAAGCCATGTGGGTTACTAGTGCGGCGGATAGACCCTATACTAAGCATTTGGGGGAAATGTGGGGCGGATAGATCCAATAATGAGAAAAAGTCGTGCGAGGTGGATGCTGTGAGGCGGATATATCCTCCCCTGAACATTTGCGCTCTTTCTGAGAAACCTGAGTCTGATACAAATCGGGGGAATTGTAAGGCGGATAGATCCGATAATGGGAAAAAGTCATGCGACGTGAACGTTGTGGGGCGGATAGATCCTCCACTGAGGATTCGGTCTCTTTCCAAGAAACCTAAGACACTGTTGACTCTTTCTTAGAAGTCTGAGACAAATCGGGGGAATTGTGGGGTGGATAGATCCTACACTGAGCATGTGCCTTGTTTCAATGGGTAGATTTGCGGGGAGGATAGATCATACAATGAGCAGTGCGGCAATTGGCGTGTGAGAGGGTGATTGTTGTGCCAGAACTGCTAGCATTGTCTGTTTGTTTTCAGTTCTTCTCAATCATGCCAAAGAACAATAGGGTGGTGCACCAGCTTCAGGACGTGCTCCGGCTGGCGATGAAGTTTGATGTTAGTCGAGGATGGCGTTCGATGTCACACGAGGTTCTTGGAAGTACTCCCGTCAACCCGGCTGGCGATGGCGTTGATGTTAGTCGAGGATGGCGTTCGATAGCCACCGATGACATTCAATTTGTGTAAACGTTGTCAGGGGCTTGGAGGTCAATATCAGACATGACAAGGTTGTGTTTTCGCGGTCGCAGTCTGCCTTGGGCTGGGGCATTTGATGTTCAACAGGTTCTGGGAGTTGGGTGAAAGACAAGTTGCCTGCGCATTGCACATGGCGCGTGACGTCATGCGCACAGCTCTGGACGTGGTGGGTGACGTCATGCGCACGGCTTTGAACGACAACAGGTATACAGGCGTGCTATTATTGATGTCGGTTGCCCGGGTTTACGAAAGACAACATGGTGGGTGACGTATGCTTGCGTAAGCGTAGATTGCGAGACCTTGATCGGTCAAGGAACTACGAGGGCACGGTGTTGAGACCATGGTTAGGGAGAGGATATTCTGCATGGCTGGTGATCACATGCGCACAGTTCTTGACGTGGTCATTGCGCAGCAACTGGGTGGAACAACGGGGGATCAACGACAACAACAGGTATCCAGGCGTGCTATTCTTGATGACGGTTGCGCAAGACAACATGGAGATGGTTGCGCAAGACAACATGGAGACGGTTGTCCGTGACATATGTGCAAGACGCCGGTTGCCCGTGGCGATGCATTCTTCGCCTTGGAGACGGTTGCCCGTGGCGATGCGTTCTTGACAACCGTGTTTCTGTGTGTGTGCAACTGGACCAGCGACGGGAGGGTGCTCACCTCGACGTGGCGATGGCGGTGTCGACGTGGCGATGGCGGTGTCCTCGTCGACGACGCAATAGCAAGGCGCTTCGAACAACAACCCTGCGAAATGACGCAAAAGAATTGCATGTTGCCGATGAATACCCTCTCGACTGTGTACGAACCGCACGCAAAAGCGTGGGCCTTTCCCCATCGACGAATCCTGACTGTTCGATATGGGGAGGTTGTGTGGCCCCGTACGATTCCCGACGAGAAAATCGGTACCGCGACGACCCAAGGACGTCATTCTTCTCGCACAGACGTGTTTGGGACTGGGACGACAAATTCAGACCGCATTCATGGCTTCGGGGCCTTTTGTCGTTTCGCGAAATTTTGGGCGCCTTTTGTCGTTTCACGAAATATTGTACCGGTGCCAAAAAAAAATTAGGCTTCGCGCCTTAAATTCAAACGCATATATGCTCGCGGACCAGAACCCACATCATTTTTTTGATGCTGCGATTGCGGGGAGACCATGTTGCGCCGTCGTTAGCCTGGACGAAACGCGCGCTTCGTGTACACGATCCGTTGCGTCGCGGCTACGCCATCCAGTTCGTGATTGTCCTTGGGCCTACGTCATCGTTGTCCGCGTCTGGTCAGATACTTGGTCAAACGCAGATCGCCCTCGCGGCTACGCCCTCACTGCGCTGCCATATATAATCGCTCGCACGCAGACCGCCATCATGATCGCCATCGCTGTCCCCGTCCAGTTGCCTGATGCCCTTCACTCACACCATCTGCCCTCTTCGTTTTCTCCCTTCGTTTACATCTTCTTCTCTCGCACCATTCTCCATCTTCTACTCTCCCACGTCTTCTTGTTTTCCCCATCTTCCTTCTTCGTCTTCGTCGTCGTCTTCCTTCTTCGTCTTCCTTCTGCCTTCTTTCTTGTTTGTCTTCGTGTTGCCTTCTCCATCTTTCCATCGTCTTCTCTAGCGCCTTTGTTGCCTTCTTCACTTTCGTCATCGTCGCCATCTTCCATGTCTCCGGTAACCGTACTCCTGCGCCTTCGTTGACTCCTTCACTTTCGTTATCGTCGTGGTCTTCCTTCTTCGTCGCCGTCTTCCTTCTTCGTCTTTTCCATCTTCCTTCATATCCATCTTCCTTCTTCATCTTCTCCTTCACTTTCGTCATCGTCGCCATCTTCCATCTCTCCGGTAGCTGTACTCCTGCGCCTTCAGTGCCTCCTTCACTTTCATCATCGTCGTCGTCTTCCTTCTTCCTCGCCGTCTTCCTTCTTCGTCACCGTCTTCCTTCTTCGTCTTCTCCATCTTCCTTCTCCATATCCATCGTCCTTCTCCATATCTCGTCGTCTTCTCCATCTTCCTTTCCCATATTCATCTTCCTTCTCCTTCTGCATCTCACTTCTTCACCTCTCCATCTTCACGTCTCGCCATCGTCGTCATCTCCATCCTCCCCATATTCACCTTCCTTCTCCAACCTCTCTATTTTCCTTCTCCGTCTCTCCATCCTCGTTCTCCATCTTCTCCATCTCGGGGTTATCTCTCGTTATCGTCGTCGTCTCTGTCTTCTCTAGCCCTGTCTTTGCATCGGTCTCCATCTTCGTAAAACCTCACGAGCTCTTCGTATCCATGACACACCTGAAAGGAGTGATCGTCAAGTGCCATCTTCTCCATCTTCATCACGAAGGGGATCGCCGAGCGCCCTCGACGAAAAAGAAGCTATCCTATCCTCAAGCTGAAAGGTAAGCTGACGTCATCGACACGTCAGTCCCAGTGTTGCAATGTGTTATCAAAGGGTCTTGTATCAGTCCGAGCTTGTTCTGTCAGTTTCAGTATGTTGTCCACGGGTCTTGTTTCAGCATCCAGACCGAGCTTGTTCTGGATTAATCAAATCTGTTATAGAAGGGGTTCGATGCATGACTAGAATAGTTCGATGAATACCTAGAAGGGTTCGATGCACAACCAGAGGGGTTCGGTAGACAACGATAATGGTTCGATGCACAACAAGAAGGGCTCAAACTACTAGGGTTGAATGAACATTTTCCAGCCCTTCTTGTTGTGCATCGAACCATTATTGTTGTCTACTGAACCCCTCTGGTTGTGCATCAAACCCATCTAGGTATTCATCGAACTATTCTAGTTATGCACCGAACCCCTTGTAATTCTCCATCGACCTCTGGGGCGGATCTATCCTCCTCACAGCCCATCACCTCCAACAACAGGACTCAGCAACGCCACACACCGTTATTGTGAGGAGGATCTATCCTCCACACGATGCGGACCCAACAAGGACACGCCCCGTTGTTATGAGGAGGATCTATCTTACACACAATGCGGATACAAACCCCCATACCTCTGGGGCGGATCTATCCTCCTCACAGCCCGATCACCTACGCCGACAGGACCCAGCAAGAACACTCGATCAATCTCTAGCACCCAAACCTTTGGGGCGGATCTATCCTCCTCACAAACACCCGTACCTCCTGGGCGGATCTATCCTCCTAACAACGCGATCACCTACACGTACAGGACCCAGCAAGGACGCGCGACCACTCTCTAGTACATATACCTCTGGGGCGGATGTATCCTCCTCACAAACCCCGATACCTCTGGGGCGGATCTATCCTCCTCACAGCGCGATCACCTACGAGGACAGGACCCAGCCAGGACACGCGATCACTCTCAAGTACACCTCTGGGGCGGATCTATCCTCCTCACAAACCCCCTTACCTCTAAGGCGGATCTATCGTCCTCACACCGTGATCGCCAAACGAGGACAGGACCCAGCAAGGACATGCGATCACTCTCAAGTACCCATACCTCTCGGGCGGATCTATCCTCCTAACAAACCCCCTTACCTCTGGGGGGGTATCTATCATCCTCACAGCCCAATCACCTACGAGGACAGGACCCAGCAAGGACACACGACCAGTCTCTAGTACATATATCTGTGGGGCGGATCTATCCTCCTCACAAACCCCCATACCTCTGGGGCGGATCTATCTTCCTCACAGCCCGATCACCTACGACGACAGGACCCAACAAGAACACGCGATCACTCTCTAGTACCCATACCTCTGGGGCGGATCTATCCTCCTCACAGCGCGATCACCTACGGGGACAGGACCCAGCAAGGACAGGCGATCATTCTCAAGTACCCATACCTCTGGGGCGGATCTGTCCTCCTCACAAACCCCCTTACCTCTGGGGCGGATTTATCCTCCTCACAGCGCGATCACCTACGAGGACAGGACGCAGCAAGGACACGCGATCAGTCTCTAGTACATATACCTGTGGGGCGGATCTATCCTTCTCACAAACCCCCATATGTCTGGGGCGGATCCATCCTCCGAAAGCAGGCCTCGGATGTCTGGGGATCGATCCTCCTCACAAACCCCCATACCTCTGGGGCGGATCTATCCTCCTCACAACCCGATCACCTACGCCGACAGGACCCAGCAAGAATACGCGATCACTGTCTAGTACCCATACCTCTGGAGCGGATCTATCCTCCTCACAGCGCGATGACCTACGAGGACAGAACCCAGCAAGGACACGCGATCACTTTCAAGTACCTATACCTCTGGGGCGGATCTATCCTCCTCACAAACCCCCTTACCTCTGGGGCGGATCTATCCTCCTCACAAACCCCCTTACATCTGGGGCGGATCTATCTTCCTCACAACGTGATCACCTACGAGGACAGGACCCAGCAAGGACACGCGACCAGTCTCTAGTACATACATCTGTGGGGCAGATCTATCCTCCTCACAAACCCCCATACCTTTGGGGCGGATCTATCCTCCTCACACCCCGATCACCTACGCCGACAAGACCCAGCAAGATCACGTGATAACTCTCTACTACCCATACCTCTTGCGCCTGGAAGCAAGCCATGGTCCGATCCTCCGGAAGCAGGTCTCGCATGTCAGGGGATCGATCGTCCTCACAAACCCCATACCTCTGGGGCGGATCTATCCTCCTCACAACCCGATCACCAACGCCGACACGACCCAACAAGATCACGCGATCACTCTCTACTACCCATACGTCTGGGGCGACTCTATCCTCCTCACAGCCCGATCACCTACGCCGACAGGACCCAGCAAGAACAGGCGATCATCGACACTGCCTTTCGGGGCTTCCTTAGGGACCGATTCATTCTGCGTAGATTGACCGAACGCTGAAACCCTTGAACTTTTGGCGATCATGTTTTTCACCTAATTTATATATGCTCCACACAACGGGCACAAACTTCTGGGGCGGATCTATCCTCCTCACAGCGCGGACACATCTGCCGACAGGATCCGGCAATGACCCGCGCTGTTGTTGTGAGGAAGATCGATCATTCACACAATGCGGGCACTTTAACTCATAGATGGGAGCGCGGCTACCAAAACTTGTTGGCACATATGTGCTCACTGTGTGGAGGATAGATCCGCCACAGAGATCACGAAAGTCGTGCTCCGATCCTCCGGCAGCAAGGTTCGGATGTCTGGGACGGATCGATCCTCCTCACAAACCCCCTCTGGGGCGGATCTATCCTCCTCACAGCGCGATCACCTACGAGGACAGGACCCAGCAAGGATAGGCGATCATTCTCAAGTACCCATACCTCTGGGGAGGATCTATCCTCCTCACAAACCCCCTTACCTCTGGGGTGGATCTATCCTCCTCACAGTGGGATCACCTACGAGGACAGGACACAGCAAGGACACACGACCAGTTTCTAGTACATATACCTGTGGGGCGGATCTATCCTCCTCACAAACCCCCATACCTCTGGAGCGGATCTACCCTCCGGAAGCAGGGCTCGGATGTCTGGGAATCGGTCCTCCTCACAAACCCCCATACCTCTGGGGCGGATCTATCCTCCTCACAGCGCGATCACCTACGCCGACAGGACCCAGCAAGAACACGCGATCACTTTCTAGTACCCATACCTCTGGGGCGGATCTATCCTCCTCACAGCGCGATGACCTACGAGGACAAGAGAGTGATCGCGTGTCCTTGTACCCATACCTCTGGGGCGGATCTATCCTCCTCCCACAAACCCCCTTACCTCTGGGGCGGATCTATCCTCCTCACAGCGTGATCACCTACGAGGACAGGACCCAACAAGGACACGCGGCCAGTCTTTAGTACATACACCTATGGGGCGGATCTATCATTGTCACAAACCCCCATACCTCTGAGGCGGATCTATCCTCCTCACAGCCCGATCACCTACGCCGACAGGACCCAACAAGATCACGCGATCACTCTCTACTACCCATACGTCTTGGGCCAGGAAGTCGTGGTCCGATCGTCCGGAAGCAGGGCTCGCATGTTTGGGCGGGGCTTTATTAGGGACCGATTCATTCTGAGTAGATTGGCTGAAACCCTTGAACTTTAGGCGATCATGTTATTCACCTAGTTTATCTATGCTCCACACAACGGGCACACATCCGCCGACAAGTCACGGAAGCCGTGCTCCCCATTAACTTCTGGGGCGGATCTATCATCCTCACAGCGTGGACACATCTGCCGACAGATTCCGGCAATGACTCGTGCTGTTGTTGTGAGGAAGATCGATCATTCACACAATGTGGGCACTTTAACTCATAGATGAGAGCGCGGCTATCAGAACTTGTTGGTGGATATGTGCCCGATGTGTGGAGGATAGATCCGCCACAGAGATCACGAAAGTCGTGCTCCGATCCTCCGGCAGTAGGGCTCGGATATCTGGGGCGAATCGATCCTCCTCAAACCCCCCCATACCTCTGGGGCGGATCTATCCTCCTCACAGCGTGATCACCTACGAGGACAGGACCCAACAAGGACACGCGATCACTCTCAAGTACCCATAACTCTAGGGCGGATCTATCCTCCTCACAAACCCCCTTACCACTGGGCGGATCTATCCTCCTCACAACGTGATCACCTACGCAGACAGGACCCTGCAAGGACACGCGATAGATGTATGCTCATGGGGAGGAAGCATCGTGGAGAGGATCTATCTGCTCCACAAGACTGATGTGATGCCGAGAGCAAGGCACGGAGGATGCTCATGTATAACCGTCGTCGATCTATCTCTAGACAATTTGTTTTCTCGATGGCAGATGTATCCGCCGCACATGGCTTGACACTTCGTGTCGCACAATGTGTGTATGGAGTCCTTCCGGTTGTGTAGAGGATACATCCGCCTCAGAGACGGTTCCTCATGTCTTCAACGGATTAGTCCTCCACGCGTTGTGTGTATCGAGGGGGTCTGGTCGTGTCACTATTCGTATGTCGGAACCTTCCTGTTGTGTATCGGATACATCCGCCCTAGAGACGAGGCCACGGCTCTGTAGCGGATGTATCTTCCACAGAGCATGAAGTTGTGAATCCTCCGGATCTGATGTATAACCTTCGTTGCGCTTTCTATACCGAGCTTGTTTTGTCAGTGGCGGATGTATCCGCCGCAAAGGTCTTGACACTTCTTGTTCGTAGGTCTTGATAGTTCGTGCTCATCTTTGTGGCGGATGTATCCTCCACACGACATGACGTTGTGAATCCTCCCCAGCTGATGTATAACCTTCGTCGCTCTATCTCTAACCAATTTGTCTTCTCGGTGGCGGATGTATCCGCCACACAAGTCTTGACACTTCATGCCGCGCAATATGTGTACGGAGTCCTTCCGGTTGTGTAGACGGTTCCTCATCTGTTGAACGGATTAGTCCTCCACGCGTTGTTTGTATCCAGGGGGTCCGGTTGTGTCACTATTCGTGTGTAGGAACCTTCCAGTTGTGTGGCGGACACATCCGCCCCAGAGACGAGGCCACATCTCTGGAGCGGATCTATCCTCCACAGAACATGAGGTTGTGAATCCTCCGGAGGTGATGTATAACCTTCGTCAAGCTATCACCACAAAGTTTGTTTTCTCTGTGTGGAAGATGTATCCGCCGCACAGGTCCTGACACTTCGTGCTCGTCGTATGCAGATCAAATGGCATCCGGTGGCGCTGGAGATCAACGCGACACCGCCCGACTGTGCGTCGAAGACGTGACGCTTGATGCAAGCCGGAACCATGAAGAGCATTTAGCGACCTCGGGCAGAACGGCAACGATCGAGCGAAGCCATCGGTCCGTTGGGGGCGTGACTCCTGAGCCATGTGGGAAACATGGTGGGGCTGCAACGACAACGGGTGCTGCACCAACTGCCGATCGGAGGCGTCGGGGGCGTTCGTCCGGCGAGAAGAAGAACCCTCAGTAATATAAGCTAGACAACCGTTCGTGGTACGTCGACTAGGTTTCGGAAGATCCTTTAGTGTCAACTAAACCGTCGTGTGGATGTGTCCTATACATCAAGGACCGTAATGCGATTCGACTGCTGGGGGCTGTGAATGGGTGGGAAGATTGTACCGAGGGGGTCCGAATGTTTCATATGCAAACGGTATACACCAAGAGTAAGGAACCTGATCACGACGCCAGAGGTTGTAGACCGAGGTGGAATAATTTTCGGGGTTTCGGAAAGGATGCCACCAGTCTTCCGTTTTACAGCCCTATAACCTCTGCTTTAGAAACCGATGTTGCCTTGCGTTGTTTCTTCGATGACTGGGAGAGAACAATGTCGCCAGACAGGTGTAAGGACGTGTCGTCCGGGCATCCCATTTCCAGGCTCATTGCCGCAGTCGGTGTTGAGCCCATGAGGACTCAAACGTCCAAAAAGGCGCTGACTGGCGGTCCCGATGAGGGTGCAGTGTCGAGAACATCTGTCGAGGTTATGAACCCTAATTACGTTCCCTCACAGCCTGAGCACCCTCAAGCGTATGAAGAGTTAAAACCCGAAATTGAAGTTGGCGAGGGTGCAGTTGAGAAGACCTCTGTCGAACAAGGTGGTGGAGCTGAATCGGAGGCTGAACGTTTAAAGAGGGGGACAATTGGATCCGGGAAGGTGGTGGAGCTGAATTAGAGGCTCCGATGCGCCGAGGGATTGTTGAGGTTGGTGGTGGTGCAAAGGGGAAGGCACCCATACCGCCTGGGCAGAACCCGGAAGAGGAAGTTTCTGACGGTCGTGTTGGCAGGAGATAAACAAGTTGGGCAAGAGTCTGCCGACGGGGGAAAGCAAAAGAAGAGAAAAGTGAGTACCTCCCAAGGAGCCGGGGTGAAGAGAAAGTCGACGGAAAGGGGTAAAGAGACTACGAAGAAGAAACGGCAAGGTGCTACCAAAAAGGGACCGACGAAAGCCAGGAAGGAGAAGGATTAGGTGGAGGGAGAGGAGGGGGGTGATTTGAATGATCAAATTATCGATTTGGACGCAGGTTATTTTCTGGAGTGGAAAACAGGTGTGAAAAATAATGTAACTTTTTTTGTAAACCCAGATAGGGTGATTCCGTTGCTGGCGTGGGAAGAGCCGTACAATCATCGTTCAGTGGACGACACCCACGTTGAGTTTATCTTGAAAGCCATGCTAGATGCCTACTCGAAGCCGAACCACACCTACGAGAAGCGAGTCGTGAAATTGGCAGCAATCAGAGAACCATGTACGGAAGGGAAAAAGGCGGTTCGTATTACACCGGACCAATTCAACGAGGACAACCCAAACGAGCAATGGTACTATGCCGTGAGCGGGCAGCACAACATGAAGGCCGCTTTGTTGTTGAGGGAGCATGATATTTGGAACAAACACTCGTTCCTTGAGTGGCCGTTCAAACCGTTGTACTTCTCGGACGAGGACTTCGACGGTTACACCCAGATCAGTGTAATCGACAACATGAAGGACAAGGTTGCCCCTCCTAGGGCCCAACTGCTGTCTATGATCGACATGCGACAGATTTGGAAAAATTTGAAACGTCCTCGTCCAATGGCTGGGAATGTTAAGTTCAAGCAGGCCTTGGTCGCCAATTATGAAAAATTTCAAAAAATGACACTGAGAAAGACACCATACCACAATCTCTGGCAGATTGTGGATAGCAGCACCAAAGAAGATAAAAAAGTATGGCAAGAAAAATTGAGGTATTTTTTGCCTCTCGTCATGAGCGATGACCAGACGTGGCAGCTAGGTATGAAGTTCTATGAAGAGTGGACGAAGGGTCAACTTCTCGCTCCGGAAGGCGCCCTGTGGACAAAGAGGCCTCCTACAACGGACCCGAAAGCCACTCAGGAGGGTCAATCTTTTGGAGAGGACAGCAGCGGCCAAAAGAGAGTCGTGTATAATGTTCGCGTTATAGATCCAGAGCTGCGCAAAGGAAAGAAGAGGAGGAAACAGGAGGAGCGCGACTTTTTCGTTCAAGTCAATGAACCCGACGTGCATTGCTGGAAAGAAATGGGGGATCTCACAAATATGGAAAAACAACGGATTTTGAGGGGTGTGTTGGACCTTGAGATTGTGTGGGTGCAGCACGGGAGCAAAAAACTGGTTGAGCACGGGAAAATGGGGATGAAAGACACCTGCGAAATCGGAAAGCAGGACCGAATGCTGCTTCGACAGTGGCATATAATTGAGTTCCAGCACCAGGGCCGGACCAGCGATGAGTGGAACGCTGGTTTCTTCCAGACGAGGGAGCAACTGTTGACGCAATACGGCTCGAGGGGGCTGAACGAGAAGTTATGGGCGGTTTGCAGGAGATTTGTCACCGATCACTCATACCTGAAGGACTGCCCCCAATACCTCGGTTGTGCCTCAGATAAGGAGTTGAAAACAACGTTGAGTCTAGTTGAAGACGAGAAGTTCCCTACCGAGTTCAAGCGGGTTGTTTTGTCCGTGCTCAAAGGCGAACGCGGCAAAGAGAAGGAGGCGCCTGTCAGACTGGACGATTGCACTAACATCAAGTGGAGGGACACCAAAGTCGTCACAACACTCGCACCTTTCGCCTTCGATGCTTTCACAACATTTTTTGTGAAGGACGACATGCGGCATGTTGTGAGGCAACTCCGGTGCCACACGTGCATCATCCACCTTTGTGATCCCGTTGACCGAGCACGGTGGAATGAGGAGGCCTTTAAGGCATTGGCGGGTTTCCTGGAGACTTTATGTCCTGAATTTTGGACAGTGGTCGCTTTTGTTCCCAGGGTCTGGGACCTCTCTTTCATGAGTCTACTACATTGTCTCCCTGTGGTGAGTAGAAGCGCACGAAAATGGGTTCGGAGGGGCCAAATTCGGAAGACCTACCAGATCGGTAACAGCAAATGGGCCGAAGAGGACAGGATGTATGTACTCTTCCACGGGGATGACCTCAAGCTCAATACTCATCCAGTTTACGAAGAGGGGTTGCGAGATGACGACGCTGCCGCCTTGGGAAAGAAGCAGAAGTGCACACCATCCGATATTGCTGAAACTCAGTTCACACCGACGACGTTCCATTCAGCAGACGTCCTCCACCAGAAGGGGGTGGTGTATAAGGAAATGGAGCGCAACCCTAGTATGTTGTCCAACCTTATGGAGTTCTTCTGCTCACCCGAGAATGCGGTTATGTTCCTTGGGAAGGCGCACGCCCAAGTTGTGTGGAACCTCCTCAAGAGTGGGCGCCATGTAGTGGCCGTGGAGGGGGACACAGAACTCCTCAGCTTTTTGAAGACGTACTTCATGTACGAGATCAATAGTGGAGTTCATAACTGCGACTTGCACATCGGGCAAACCTCCATCCAGCATGATCCCAACAGGAACTTCTGGTTCAAGCTCTCCTCTGAGAAACGGGCTAAGCTTTACAAGTTCCTCTTCCAGGACACACGTCCCTCATACCGAACCGATGACGACTACAGACTATGTCGACAAGTCGCGATCGGAACGCTGGACGGCTACCATGGTGGGTCAAGGGAGGCGGCGACAAACTTCGTCGACAAACTGGAAGAGTGTTATTTTGACCAAGGCAAGACTGAAGTCACTCTCAATATCTTCAGGGCACACGTCAATGACGAGGAGGACTTCAACCCTAACGACGATGAAGAGGTCAGCGTAGGTAATACGGAGTTCGAGTTGGAGGCAACATACCGCAAACATGTTGGCGGTGTAGCATCCTCATCAACGCCTGCAACTTCCCAAATTCCCGTGGGTTCGCCTCTCGGCACTCCAGTTGCCGCGCCAGTCGCTACGCCAACGTCCGGTTCTTCAAAAGGATTTTTGTCGTCGAGGAGAAGACCACTCAGCCCCACCGTCAGACCGGAACTTCCAATTCTGCTGCCCGTGTTGTCAGGTCTTCTACCAGGCAAAATATACCACTTCGGCAAAGACCACAGGAGCACCAACGAGGCTGAATGGGGTCACCACATAGTGTGGCATCCTGATTATTTCCAACCGGCCGTTCTGGATGGTGAATGGGTCATGAGCAAAGTCAATGATGACGGTGTGTGGGAAGTCAATACGCGCATGTCAAAGGAAGATTTCTTACAAGTTGCGCATGAGGAGGTGCTACGGTGCGTTGCGGAGATGAACTCCCTAGAGCCGGAGAATTCGGTGGTCGTATGGCATGGACATTCCATATTCGAAATTTTACGGGATCGCAATTCGTTGGAGCTCCTTGCTGAATTTTACGGACTCGAGACGAGCCCGAGTTAGGGAGTCCAAATAGAGTGGGTGATTTCGTTGGGAGATGGTGGGACCGATGGTGGTGGAGGGGGTGGCATCGACGGTGGTGGAGGGGGAGGAACCGGCAGTGGTGGAGGGGGTGGAACCGGCAGTGGTGGAGGGGGTGGAACCGACAGTGGTGGCGGAGGTAACCAGGGCATGCGAGGAGCGGGGGGCGACGACCGTACAGGATCGGGGGCCCGCAACGGTACAGGATCGGGTGGGCAAAGTGGGTATCAGTGAAGCTCTGCACGAACAATCCCGCCTGGAATGGGTGCCCGTCTAACAGTAGAAGGGGCTGCCTCCAAGACCAGTGCGGGTTCTCGACTTGCTGAACCTACCGCTGCCCTGTTGTTTAGTGGAGGATGTATCCGCCCCACAATCGGGGCTGGAATTTTTGCATGTTCCAAACTGCTCGGTGTCGGGTCTGTCCCATGCACAGTTTCTGCGGGATCTAATTTCGCCTCAAACTTGGAAGGGGAAGTGGGATCCATAAAGTCTGTGGAGTCCGAGTCGATGCCGCACGTCGACGCAGGGTGCCTTTCCATCGGCTGCGAGGCCAGCGTCCCTCGAGTGAAGAGCCTATCCGCAAGTGGAGGATCAATCCTCCCCACAGCAAGTCAGGCTGGAGAGACCCACGCAGGAAGCCACGACGCTTCTGCCAGTGAAGGATCTATCCTCCACACGCCAAGTCGAACTGGGCAAACGCAAGCAGGAAGCCTGCCTGCAAGTGTCCCAGGAGTTCGGTGCCTTTCAGCATGTGGCGGATCTATCCTCCCCACAACAAGTCGGGTTGGGGAGGCGCAAGAAGAGAAGTTCAACCTTCCGGAGAGTGTCCAGACGGTGCACAACCCTCTCGCTGGCGTCTAGGAAAAAAGTCAGGCGGCCAAAACGGTCGAAGGAAGTCAAGTTGGGGACAAGCCAGTAGGAAGCCTTGACATGCCAACTGGACAAACGCAAGCAGGAAGCCTGCCTGCAAGTGTCCTGGGAGTCCAGAGCCTGCCACCTATAGGAAGACTGCCCTCAAGTGTCCCGGGAGTTCAGTGCCTTTCGGCCTGTGGCGGATCTATCCTCCCCACAACAAGTCGGGCTGCGGATGCAGGAGAAACGCAAGCAGGAAGCCTATCCGTAAGTGCCCCGGATATTCAGAGCCTTCAATACAGTGGAGGATCTGTCCTCCGCACAACGAGCCAGGAGGATAAGGACGTCATAGACGAGACTTTGGAAATGCAGGCGACTTCTCCTCGTGACGTGAGATGCGATGGTACGGATGACGACTTTCTCTCGCAGCTGTATTCGGGAATCGACACAAAACCGCTTTCGGTGGACAATTTCGTTCGTGGTGACTCAACCCAAGCACTTGACATGCGGCCCTCACAACTGCGTGTAGTAATACTCGTGTCAGGTCCGTGCGTGGAGGAGAATGATGTCACCATGTCGGAACAGGAAGAAGGGGTTTTTCGTCATCCGTTGGGCGATGACATCGCCCGAAAGCTTTTTCACGATGACGAAGACCTTGCTGCCACCGCAGTTGTGGTGGATTCTAGTCCAGGCAAGACTGCGGGCGCCGGGACAACTCTCGTGGAACTGTCTCTCGATGAGGATGTCGAACAACAGCCTGCCGACTCTCTTAGTCCCTTTGTTGAAGAGGTCGTTCGAATCGTCGATGCGGGCCTCGACGACTTGTCCAAGTTCCCAGCCCGTCTAGACCTCGTTGTTGCATCGGGGAAGATCAAAGGAGCAGGGGTAGTGCTAGGTCTGAAAGCCAGCTGCGTACAGGAGGAGGTGCCACGAGTTCAAGATGAACACGAGGACGATGCTGGTGGTCATGCTCGAGAAGAAGTTGTGACCGGTAAGCAGTGACTTTCATTGCTTCACTTTGGGTCTCTCTAGTGCTGAACATCTGGAGTGTTCTTTCACATGTAGATAGCGTTAGGGATATGTGGAACATGAGGGTAATTGCTTGTTGCCCCTTGGTTTGTGAAGCGCGGCCGTACGTTGTATTCGTAATTATGTTTCTTCATCTGTTGTACGGAGAAAGTCGAAGGAATATCTCACGAAGACGAGAGTGTCACAATTATCCCCAAGAGATATGGAAATTGTAAAAGCGGTTGGTGTGAGTGCTGAGACAGTTAAGAAGTTGCATATGAGAGTTTGCAAGAAGTTCACAGTTTCTCCAGTTTCTGAACATGAGCCGTACTTTGAAAGAACGACGAGTAGAGGAGTTCAGATTTACAATACTTTTAGTACTAAAAGCAAAGAACTGAGCGGCTTGGACAGCTAGGGTATCATTCATCTCATGGTCATGCGTGTTGTTTGGTTGGTCTGTGCGGCAAACATGAGCACAACGAGCGTTGGAAGAAGTGAGGGAAAGTTGTCGAACTTGTTAGACAACCTTGTACATTCTCGCCTATCTCCAACGACGATTGTGGCTCGCCTGCCGGTTGAGAACTTGGTTGTTAGGGTTCGAGACATGGACACCTTGTTGGACAGAGGCGGCGAGCTGAACGACGAGGTCGTGAACTTCTACTTGGCATTGCTCGTTAGGGATAGTCGTATATCTTCTTCCAAAGTGTACAACTTTGTTTCTTTCTTTTTCATGAAATTGCTACTTCAGGGTTGTAAAGGGGTGACAAGATGGACGAAAGATGTCAATCTTTTCGAATATGACGTCTTGCTCATCCCTATTCACAAGGACAACGAACACTGGGCTCTTCTTACTACAGATTTTAGAAAGAGAGTTGTACAGTACGCTGATTCTTATTATAGTGCAGTGTGCGACGCTTCATTTGCTTCAACTGCTTGTAGAGCGGTTTTGCAGTACCTGAATGAAGAGGCAATGATAAGAGCGTTGCCCCAAAGGTATGATGCCATGAGATTCGAAGTTCTCGTCAAAGGAGTGTCAAGGCAGGCGGACGGATCCAGTTGTGGGGTTTTCATGTTAATGTTTGCTTCCTATCTAGCTAGGGGACTACGTCCGT